AAGATAATATTGATAAATATTAGTGTATTACTGTGAGTCCAGATAGTTTAGATAATATCACTGGGGTTATGGATGCATTGTAAGGGATGCATTTGAAAGGATTTGGTTGCAAAATCAATTAGGCCAGTAGGGGCAGTGATGGGTCAGATTCCAGTTTAAGCGTTGATAACACTGTGTGATGTTTGTACTGACTTTTGAGAAAGTTATGAGATTGAGATAGGTTGGAGAAGTGGTGCCTGGAGACAACACTCAGATGCCGGTGTGGACTGTTCCTGATCTGGATAAAGATGGACAAGTGGAACTGAGGGATAAATATCATTTTGGATTATTTGATGATTTTTCAAATTGGTTTTTCAATATTAGTATAATTTTTAGTATGATTTATGAATCAAAGGGGGGAATGGATAATGTGATTCATGCATCATTTATGTATCATTTTTTAAATTCTTAGGTGAAATGGAGGTTTAATTTGAAAGTGGTTGTTTTGCAAAGGATACTGTTTGGTCGTTTATTTTCTTGTCATTCCAGAAGCATGTGGGAGAATATGTGGAGATTGGAATACTCAAACAAAGACAATATGACTGGAGGAGAGGAAACAAGGATGGTGTGGCTGATTCCATCATCAACAAGTCCATTGGAAGAGGACACTACAGGAAGAGGAAGTGTAGTGGACTACATTCCAGTGTCTGCAATGAAATATAGACATATTTGATGTGTAATACATAATTGTGTCATATTCTTAGGTATTGATTTTAGTAGAATTATGTTTGATGTTATTGAATGCAAATGAGGATCGTAGATGCTTTGTTTATTTCGATGGGGTTAGGGACAGAATGTTTAAGCAGGGAGAGATTCCCTTTCAGGTCCTATGGGTTGACCAGCCTGAGAGTGGATAGTTATGGATAGGATTTTGTTTACATGGGTATTTAATTACATCATAGTTTCAAATGCATTTACATGAGTTATGAGGTTATCTGGAGTACCGACGGTGGTTGCCTGGGGCAGAGGGACCGTGAGATAATTTTACTGTCTTGATTGATATGGATGGATGGCTGCTGGACAGTTTTTCGCTCTCACACTCCATAGAGATTTATTCATAATTCATATTAATGTGTTCATACTTCATAAACAGTTGTTCATATGTCATAGTAATGTATTTATACTCCATAGAGATTTCTTCATGGGTCATAGTAATGTATTCACACTTCATAAACAGGTATTTCATAAGAAAGGTATTTACACTCTAGAGGAGAATGTTTTGGTTTAAGGTTAAGAATATTCAATGAGATAAATGGTTAATAGTCCATAATCTTATTCTGTTTGTTTTCGAGACGTTATTTCGTCTCGAAAGGGGGGAATATCGTATCTGAAGATTATGCCTTTGTTAAATGTTTTTCATGACGAAATGGAATGTTGGTTGTTCAGGCCAAAGGGGGGATGTTTTATGATGTTATTTGAGATGTGCCGCTTGGAGGGTGACGGCCGAGGGGAGACTGGTGATTGGCCAGAAGAAGGGAGTAGCCCCTCCCTTTGCATGTTTATAAATAGGGGGTAAACGATTAGATGGCAGAACGACCATATCAATCTGGGGAGTCGTTCTCCAGGCAACACGTGTCTGTAATTTATGCTGTAACCTCGTGGTATGAATAAAAACTCTGACACGATGCAGCATAACGGACTTTTTGTTGACAGCGATAATGGCCACCATTCATCATATACGACAATAGTTTTATGGATACAAAAAAAATTAAATTGAAAAAGGTCAAACGAAACGAAGTGCAGCTAGTTTGCAGTCTTTCCAGCTCCAGTTTGAAGTGATTGTGTTAGCTGTGTTGTTGGCTAGCTCCTCTGAACAACAGTGTCCTGACGAGTGAGCAAATGTTCTATGCCAGGCGAAATCGCGCCTCATTAGCTCATTGTTATGGATGTATCCAAATAAATGTCACTAGAAAACAGCTTAAACAAATGCAAATGCAGCTACTTTGCTGTTATTCTGGCTGCACTTTTTGACGTGACTGTAAATTACACGTAGTTGGCTAGCTAGCAAGCAAGGGATAAGAACGTTGCCAGCCAATATGGCAATGGAACATTTAGAAACTAATGACTGGATAGCGTCCATAGATACATAACAAAAGATTGAACGACTGGTTCGCGTCTCTGGCAACCGGATCATGCGGTGAGCTATGCATGCCTTGTTCGTTCATTTAGCCTAGCAGATGCTCATATATTCCCATGCCACAGTCAACACAAATCTACTCTGTAACAACAATATCATTGAATACATTTGAAAATGAAAGATTCCCAAATGTTAAAAAGTTACAAGTGCATATAGGCCTACCTGATGATATGTGGCTGCTGTGTTAAACAACAAATGATTTTTTCTTGAATTCATTGATGATCAGATACTTCAGTTGTAACTGGTTCTACATTCTCTGCTACCCAATTTATGTTTTAATCATTATTTTGGGTATGGGGAGGGTCACTTGTTTTTTTTTTTTCAAGCGTTCAGGGAGGGTCAGGTAAAAATATATTTTACTGAAGGGAGGGCCATCCATTTTAATTTGAGTGGTCTGATCTTCTTAGGTATCCCTCATTATAAACAACGTACAGTCCCTTATACAGAACATTTGTATTACATCCGGTTATGCAAACCTAGAGCGTAATCGGTGTTAACATGCTTGAAGGGAGTGTGATCAAGACAAAACACATCCTTTCCACTATTATCACACTGATTTAGGTCAAGTTATGGCATGGCACTAAGAGGTGATATCTACCTTAGTCAACAAGAAGAATGAGACAAGAAAGTAGGGACAGACGATTAAAGTAGTTATACTCCTTTCTTTCCTATGAGTTTCACATAATTAACACTAAATCATTTCTGGAGATGCATCACAAAGCACATTGCATCTCTACATTCCTTATAGATGCAACAGAATTAAGCATGAAGTCTCCCACAAAATATATATTTTTTAATTTTTTTTTTTTTAAACATAGGAGAGATGGGAGGCATGAGTGGATATGAGGGGTGCATAGACTTAGAAAAGAGAAAGGCCATCCATCTTAGAACCTACTATCTCAGGTAAATATCATAAATATACTTACCGTAAGATAGAAAAACAGATAGGATTTAAAATCATTCAAACACAACACTGGAATCAGTGCACATAATGGATTGGTCTAGATTAACATATTATACATAATGTAGCAGCCATTGGGCATAACTACAGTAAACACAATGCATTTTGTGATTTTAGAAGGTACAGTAAAGGAAACAGAAGAACACAAGAACCATGGTCTTGTGTTAAAGTGCAATATGCCTTTCCTGCTACTCCCTACCTAGTGGCCATCCTTTCATCCATCTATCTATCTATCTATCTATCTATCTATCTATCTATCTATCTATCTATCTATCTATCTATCTATCTATCTATCTATCTATCTATCTATCTATCTATCTATCTATCTATCTATCTATCTATCTATCTATCTATCTATCTATCTATCTATCTATCTATCTATCTATCTATCTATCTATCTATCTATCTATCTATCTATCTAGATCTGTCAATCTAATATCATTCTGAGAGACTTCATGGTGTGATGGTCAGAGAGGAAGGAGAAAGCAGGCCGCCCTCAGTCTTTAGGAACTGGATGAGGCGAGGTCACTGGAAAGGAAGTGGCATCACGGACTTTCCAGCTGCAGAGGGAACAATGAGAGTTAACATATATATATATACACAAACGTATGTGGACACCCCTTCAAATTTGTGGATTCGGCCATTTCAGCCACACCCATTTCTGACAGGTGTATAAAATCGAGCACACAGCCATGCAATCTCCATAGACAAACGTTTGCAGTAGACTTACTGAAGAGCTCAGTGACTTTCAACGTTGCACCGTCATAAGATGCCACCCTTCCAAATTTCTGCCCTGCTAGAGCTTCCCCGGTCAACTGTAAATGCTGTTATTGTGAAGTGGAAACCTCTAGGAGCAAGACCGGCTCAGCCGCAAAGTGGTAGGCCACACAAGCTCACAGAACAGGACCGGCGAGTGCTGAAGCGCGTAGCGTGTAAAAATTGTCTGTCCTCGATTGCAACACTCACTATTGAGTTCCAATCTGCCTCTGGAAGCAACGTCAGCACAAGAACTGTTCGTCAGGAGCTTCATGAAATGGGTTTCTGTGGCAGAGCAGCCGCACACAAGCCTAAGATCACCATGCGTAATGCCAAGCGTCGGCTGGAGTGGTGTAAAGCACGCCGCCATTGTAAACGCATTCTCTGGAGTGATGAATTACGCTTCACCATCTGGTAGTCTGACGATCTAATCTGGGTTTGCGGATGCCAGGAGAACGCTACCTGCCCGAATGCATAGTGCCAACTGTAAAGTTTAGTGGAGGAGGAATAATGGTCTGGGGCTGTTTTTAATGGTTCTGGCTAGGCCCCTTAGTTCCAGTGAAGGGAAATCTTAACGCTACAGCATACAATGATATTCAAGACAATTCTGTGCTTCCAACTTTGTGGCAACAGTTTCCTGTTTCAGCATGACAATGCCCCCGTGCACAAAGCGAAGTCCATACAGAAATGGTTTGTCGAGATCGGTGTGGAAGAACTTGACTGTCCTGCACAGAGCCCTGACCTCTACCCCATCAAACACCTTTGGGATCAATTTGAACGCTGACTACAAGCCAGGCCTAATCGCCTAACATCAGTGCCTGACCTCACTAATGCTCTTGTGGCTGAATGAAAGTAAGTCCCTGCAGCAATGTTCCAACATCTAGTGGAAAGCCTTCCCAGAAGAGTGGAGGCTCTTATAGCAGCAAAAGGGGGACCAACTCTATATTAATGCCCATGATTTTGGAATGAGATGTTCGACGAGCAGGTGTCCACATACTTTTGGTCAAGTAGTGTAAGTCAATGGAAGGTGAGCTGTGTATTAGCCATGTATTGCATGGTGTGGTTTGATAGAACACAGGCAATCCAGGTAGTTTCTCTTCATCTCACCTGCATCTTGCTGTAGATCCAGGGCAGTAGGCTGGACACCTTGGTGTAGACCCCTGGCCTGTTACTCTGCCCACAGCCACTGCCCCAGCTGGTCACTCCCACCAGCTGCCAAAGGTTGTCACTGGCCTGGCACACCAGAGGACCACCACTGTCTCCCTGTGAGAGGAGAGAATGGATGAGTGAACAGTTGAAGTGGTGTTGAAATCACCTGCTACAATATACTGTATGTTTTCAAGTTGTGGATAGCAGATGAGGTAGAAGGGAATTTTCTCAGCCCAAAGGCATCTAAGATGAGGACAAGAGTTGGTGAGTAGCAGGAGAGGACAGTTAGACTCTGGGAAGAAATCAGAATGTTGCTGTCATGGAACATCTGGTGTCCATATGGAGGACAGTTTGCCAAACTCTGCATCTATGGCTCTGTAAAAAAAGAGCATCTTTTCAAAGTCTTTTGTATGTTAAATAGAATAGGGAGAGAGAGAGGTGAAAGGTAGGAGAAAGAGTGCTGAGAGTAGTGGGCCGAAATCGAAACCATGCTGACAGCGGTACATTGTACATGTGCTCCAGAAGCAGCGGCTTAGACCTCTAGAGCACCCCAGGGGCCTCATTTATAACCGTTGCGTAAATGTCACACTCAAAATATTGAGAATTATAAACTTGGTGTGTGAACAAGCATTACTCAGCCTGGAAAACACCCTCCATTCACCTTTTATGGTGATAATAATGCCTTTTATTTTCTGTAAAATTTGGAACTATTGGAATTAGGCCACAGCAGTTTCTAAAAGAAAGAGCAATTGCAAATTTGATTCAATGTTTTTGGAGGAGTTGGCAGAGTCTTTTAATCTTTTGCAATAACTTATGCTGTATTTGGCAAAGGACTGTGACAGTTTCTGAAATAAAAAACAATGGGAAATTGTTGTGGACCTGCCAGCAGAACATTTGAATTCAACAATGGTTTGCATTGACTTTTCCCCCCAACCTAAATATGCTGGACTGTGAATTCTGAAACATTGTCTAGCCTAATAAAATAAAAATAAAATTACAGTAAGCTACTCACAGTAGTTGCATACATAATGCAATGTAAAATATAAACTGTCTGTTCACCTGTTAAATTAAACTGTATGTTATAAACCGTGCTGCCTATGGGATCGCATAGGCTTCAGCAAAACTTGAAATACATAGCCTATCTATTTACTAGGCCCAATTAAATGAGAGATGCGCATGGTCTTTTTTCATATGGCTACTTCGGGAATGCATCACGGCCAGAAAAGGTGAGGAATTTCTTCTGCAATTGTTATAAAAAATAAAATAAATAGGAAATAGATGTGTGTCTAATCATTTTAGATTCCAAAAACAAAACACATAGATTTTCGCTCTTCTCACTAATGGCAAATGGCTGCATCTTGTTTCCTTTTCCCCCCCTTGTTTTATAAGCGTGTCATCATATCCCCCATTTGCAACAAATACTTACTTGCCTGCTTGCAATACAATACTTCAACCACTAGAACATTTGTGTAGGCATTGGTCTGATGTTTGCGCGGAGGCAAGCATATCCTCACGCCGAGTTCAGTGCGGCAGTTTTACCGCACGCATGTTTTGGGATATATTTTGTACGTACGCAATGTTTATAAAATGAGTCCCCAGACCTGTAAATAGAAGAATTACACAACAGTATGTGGACATGTACCTGACAGGAGTCCCTGCCCCCGTTGAGCTCTCCGGCACACAGCATGTTGTTGGACACACTGCCGGAGTATACTTTGGAGCTGTTACAGACACGCACATCAATGATGTCAACGGTCACCTCCATCAGGTCTTTGGAGGGTTTCGCTGTGAAGGGACACATACAGTACACAGTCTTTCTCCAAACATACACACACACACACTTCAGCTAGCGACACTATAGCTAGTTGCTCTACGCAAACTGTTGCTCTACTGAATATAGCATGGTTTTCTGCAATGAGAATACATTAAAATAGGATGAATAATGTATGTGTAGCCTCCTTTCTCCACATCACTCTCTCTGTATCACAGAGACGGACAGGCCATAAGGCAATTCTGGAAAATGCCAGATGGGCTGGTTCATTTTTAACCCAGGGGGCCTGTACAAATTGTTGTTGTTTCTTATGCAAAATAATCATTATTTGGCTAATAACAGGGGACCTCCAGGGGGGAAAAAAGGGCTGGTGTGGGGGCCTCGAGGATAGAAATGGGCCGGTGTGTTAGAAATACCCAGTCCGAATTTTGGTCCCAGTCTGTCCCTGTTGTTTCACTCTAGATAAGCATTCTTTCCTTTAGTATAGTCCGTTTCTCCCTCCACTCCCTTGTCTCTCTTCCTACCTGCCCCCTCATCTGTTGTCCCGAATCCCGAGGTCCAGCATTTGGTTCCATGGGGGAATGTCTGGTCAAAGGCTGGCAAACAGGCAGGCTGAACTGCATCTGAATAAAAAAACACAGACAGGAAGTTAGATAAACAGAGTGGCATACTGACTTCAGACACAAGCACACACAGTTACAAAAATCAGACACACACACACGCAAATGAGATTACCATTCTGGACAGTGGATGCATCCCAGACATTTAGACTCAAAGGTCAAACATTTTTACAGTGGTGTCCCAACGTTGATGCTAGCGTTTCCCTAGCGTTTCTCTGATATTGAAGGAATAGAGCCAGACTCACTAGTGAATTCAACTGGTGAGGCCAGCTTCAGTATGGCAATGTCCTGGTCGTTGGTTACGTTGTTGTAGTTCTCATTCACGATGATCTTCTCTATGAGGTAGGGAGAAGGAAGCTTGTCTTGAGACACCACTCCTCCGTACACACGCCACCTACTGGCATCAAGAACCGGGGGGAAAGACCTTCAATGGGCAAGGAAAAAAAGACAATAAAATATATATAATTTACTTCTCAAACCAAGGCTGTAGCTTATGACACGGATGTTATTATTATTATTATTATTATTATTATTATTATTATTATTATTATTATTATTATTATTATTATGGTAATAAGGTGTTTAATTGAGTTATGGAGATTGGTTGTCAAGGTGAGGGTGTTGAGGTGATGGGTTGTCGTGCTGCTTGTTCTTGAGTAACGCTGAGCAAGTTGCTGCACAGATTCACTACTAGTCTGTGTTTTATATGGATATGTGTAAGTGAAAGGACTGACATTCTCCTTAGGCTAATGTCGCGTTCATGACATGTCGGAAACTCAGAAATACAGGCTTCAGAGTGGGACAAAATATATTTGAACGGTCCTCCAACTAGTAATTAAAAGTCAGAAACCCTGGCATCATCCGAGTACTCCGACTTGCTGAACTCTGACTAAGGAAATTACTTCGACAACAGCATTTCTGAAAGTTAAATGAAACTATAAACAGTAATTTATCAAAAACAATCTATTTATGTTTTTTACACTGTTCATGCGCATTATAGCTGTACTTTCTGTTTATGGTTGGAGTAGCTAGCTTGCCGTTAGTCAATTGGCATTCTCAACGAGTTCAAAACAAGTCGGATTTCACTCTGACTTGTCATGAACACAGCAGGGAGGGTAAGGTGGAGCTATTAGCAAGGATCTACATAGCATGTCTAGAATTAGAGCCAAGGGATCAGTTTTGAACTGAGCATTGTTGTCCTCTAGTCACTGACCTGGGGAAGCAGTGGGCAGCTGTCACCACAAAGTCAGGGGACACCAGGACCCCTCCACAGATGTGTGATCCACCAAAGTGTAGAGAGAGTTGCCAGGGCCATTGGCCCAGCTTGGCAACACTGCCCCCTATGATCTGGGAGGACAACTGCTGACGCCCACAATCTGGGAAAAGGGGAAAAAGTGATCAAATGTTTGTATCTAATTTAACTAGAAGTCATATTTCAAACAGAAGGTTGATATGGGCCTGCCTGGCTGAAATATGTGAAATATGAACAGATGAGAGCTCCTTACCAATACACTGCAGAGAGACTGTGTTCTGGTCAGGGCAGGACGAGCTACATAGCAACACAAGCACAACCATGTCAGGAACTCAGGATCTAACATTAAACCACACTGGGATATGTGCAGCATGGCTACAGTTGATTTGAAACAGCCTTCATGAGGCCTATAATGCAGCTATAATGATGACATAACATTACATCCCAACCAGTCATGACAGGTAATGACAGTGTATGACTTAACGCCATCATTCCCTCAACATGACTGGGACTAAAATGTGTAAATACATACGTGCTAAGGTTTGTAGAGCAGTTGAGCTCTCTTACCTGACATTGACCTGGCCCTGGATGGGTAAAGACGATCTGTTGTTCAGGGTTAGACCAATGGACTGCTGGGATTTCACTGCCTTGGTTGCAAAGGACCTGCATGGTCGACACACACAAACACATTTAGATTCTGTCTGCCAAAGCAATACTAGAATCAATTCCCCTCCCATGAAGCATTCCCAGAAAGTACATTTGCCACAGGCACACCAACCCCAGAGAGAGAGAGGAGTGCAGAGAATCAATCTGAGAGTAAATACTGAAGATGGCAGCAGTGAAATTAGATGTCACTGAGCAAATGTCTGTGAGTGAAAGTAGTTGCTTTGAGAGGTAGCCTATAAAATGGCTGTTGTGAAATAAGATGATGTCTTACTTTCTGAAGCCCAGTTGGGCACAGGTTTGGTTGGCGTAGCTCTGGTCCCATCCCTGGTAACACACTGGGAGGAAACGACCGTCCTGAGACGTTCTGACGTGTAGAGCACCATCCGCCCCAAACCTCACTGCAGAGAGAGGGAGAGGAGAGGATAGAATAATAAGATACGAAAAGGGTTATGTTTGTCTGCTTGTCATACGTCGAGTGTAAGTCTACCTGTCCCCCTGGCTTTAATTTCTCTACATCTACCTGCAAGTCTGGTATGTCTGTCTGTTGTGTGAGTGTGCTTACCACAGTTGGACTCGTCGGTGCCCAGTTGGCAGTCCCGCAGAGCGTCACATTGGACGGTGGAGTTGGAGCAGGTGTCATGCACGGGCACGCTCAACTGCTTCTCATCGTGCCCCTCATCCTCATCCTCATGGTGGTCGATGATGGCATCCGCTTTTGCTAACCTGGGACCGTAACACACTACCCAGAGAGAGAGAGAAAGACATTGGAAATTAAAGAGACCGAGAGACAGAGAGGCGGGGGAAGGGTTGGATGGGGTAGGTTGGGGTCACAGAGAATATGTAAGGGTGGGGAGAAGAGGAGAGACAGAGGTAGGAGAGGAAGACTGTCAATGTCTACACAAATACAGTAGGGGAGGGAAAGGGGGTACCTAGTCACTTGCGCAATTGAATTAATTCAACCGAAATGTGTCGTCCGTTATTTAACCCAACCCCTCTGAATCAGAGAGTTGCTTATGAATAAACAGGCATACATATACATGAGTAACAACATACAAATAAATATGACGACAACCCTGGCCTTACCTCCGAGCCAGATGGCAATGGCCAGGAGGAGCAACAGAACGATGCACCCTGACCAGCCAAAGCACTTGGCACTATGGTGGCAGCATTTGTATTTCTTCTTCTTGTCAGGAAGAGCTGGAACAACACACGACATACACGTCAAACAGATATATCCTACTCAGGAGACCATATACAAACCATACACTGAGTGTACAAAACATTAGGAACTCATTCCTAATATTGAGTTGCATCCCCTTTTCCCTTCAAAACAGCCTAAATTCATTGGGGCATGGACTCTACAAGGTGTCGAAAGCATTCCACAGGGATGCTGGCCCATGTTGACTCCAATGCTTCGCATAGTTGTGTCAGGTTGGCTGGATGTCCTTTGGGTGGTGGACCATTCTTGAAACACACAGGAACTATTGAGCGTGAAAACCCCAGCAGGGTTGGAAGTTCTTTACACACTTAAGCCAGTGTGCCTGGCACCTAGTACCATACCCCGTTCAAAGGCACTTCAATCTTTTGTCTTGCCCATTCACCCACTGAATGGCACACATATATAATCCATGTCTCAAGGCTTAAAGATCCTTCTTTAACCTGTCTCCTCCCCTTCATCTACACTGATTGAAGTGGATTTAACAAGTGACATCAATAAGGGATCATAGCTTTCACCTGGATTCACCTGGTCAGTCTATGTCACGGAAAGAGCAGGTGTTCTTAATGTTCTGTACACTCAGTGTATAGCCACTACATAATGCAGACACATAATGAGGGAGTTAAAATCCCACTTCTCAAGGATGTTTTTGTATTGCTACCACTTCTGTTTCAAGTTGTATTATTTTACACTACTTTCACTGGTGGTTTGTAGTCCCCTGAAAGCAAATAACGAACGGAGGGAACTGGACTGGGACAGAACTGGGATAGTCAGGCAGTAGATAGAGAGTACTACTCACATATACTGGGCTGGCATTTGTGCTCCGCAGCCACTGGTGGGGGGTGCTGGGGGATGTAGTATAGCTGGTTGGGAGGAGTGTGCCTTGGACCCGCTCCATAGACTACCTCTTCATAGGACTGGAGGGGCGGGAGTGTGTGCACCTCAACAGAGTAGTATGGAGGAGGGAGCTCGTTCTGCAGGGGAGAACACAGAGAAAAAGACAAAAGGTTAAGAAGTCAGTCATTAAAAATATATTCGGATCCAACACCCATGCGGGAACTTAAAGGCCCAGTGTTTTGTATCATATTGTACAAAAGTTGAAAAAGTGTGAAAAAATGTGATCCGTTTTATTTCCTGATAGTAGCTGGTTGATAATACAATCTACACAGGACCTTCAAAATGACATCACCAGGCGGTATAGGTTTTTAAAGGCCCAGTGCAGTCACAAACGTGATTTTCCTGTGTTATATTTTATAATACTTTGAAATTGTGAAAAAGATGATAATGCCCTTATAATGTAAGAGCTGTTGGAAAAGACAGTCTGAAATGTCATTGTTTTGGTGGGATGGAGTTTTGGCCTGCCTGGTGACATCACCAGTTGGTAAATTAGGTAATACACCAATAAGAAAGAGAGTTCCAAACCTCTCTGCCTATAACAGCTTTTCTTCAGTTTTCCCCTCCCCACCAGACACTCCCAGACAGTCCTAGGAAAAGTATTGCATGAGAAATTGCTCTTTGCTAAAAAGCAATGACAATTTTAATTGAATACAATCACAGTAAGGTACTTAATTGTTACCCAGAAATGATTTTATATTGAGATAAAAATGCTGCATTTTACTTTTTAATAGACCAATAACAGAGTTCTAAACCGTTCTGCCAAGAACAGCTAGTTTTCAGTTTTCCCCTCCCCACTCAGAACACTCCCAGAAAGTCTTAGCAAAATTATTTTTTGAGAAATAGTTTTTTTCTAAAAAGCTATTTTTGTTTCTTTTACTATTTTAATGGAAAACTATTACAGTAAGCCACTAAATTGTTACCCAGAAATGATTTGATATGGAGATAAAAACCGGTTGCATTTGGCCTTTAATAATCCCAAGTAAACAACTTCCATGCAGGAACCCCGATTCTTCCATGAACTACAGTGTATGGGGTGCTCCCTAGAGTACACATGTTGATTGCGAACAGGGCTTACAGATGCTTGATGATTGGTGAAAATCGAGCATGTTTGAGATCCCAACACCTGAATAACTAACTCAAGCACAATGGAAGGTCCCATGTCTCTAGGCAACAACGTGCCGAGATTCCCAATGGGCCCCTTATTCATTTCCTCCTCTCTTTATCATGCTCTCATTTCTGCTTTACATTCATCTGCTCGCCATAGCGCTATCAAATATGTCAGATAATAGAGCTAATCAACGTCGCGGTGGATTCCAGTCATGTTTCCTTGTAGGGATGACATTGCTTTAAACTTCCCTAACTGGTTCTGATGTTGGGACTTTTGCTGATCTGCCCATGACAATGTTTATGTTGCAATGACCGACATGGAAAGAATCTGCTTCCTGATGGTACAACATGCATACACACACATACATTACCTCCACTTGGATTCCCACAACATATTAGTAGTGTGCTCTGCTCTACATCTAGAGGTGCTGAGGATTGGTGGAGATTTACACAACATTGCAAGATTTTCAGGGTGAGTTTTGATTTCAGAGGGGGCTAGGCTATAGTGATGATCACAAGGATCACAAAGACCATTAGATCCTATAGGTCTACAGCGGACGTAGATCATATTGATGTGTTTATCTGGTTGAGGATAAAGAGTGCTAACCAAAAATGTATTGTGTATACATTGGGGTTTCCATGGCAACTGGTCGACCCAATATTATTTGGACCGACAGGCACTACCCTTGTTGTTCCAAGAACTCAGTCTGTCAGTTCCAGGGCATCTCAGTCAATCCCAGTAACTCTCTCACCCTAGAGAATGGACCATTAGCACTATAATAAGACCTTCCTGAATCACAATAACCTTCACACAGGCACGTACTACCACGCTCCATAGGAAGCCAAGAGGCAGGCATGTACCATATGTGTCTTCTCTACATCTGAAAATCCAAACACCCACTGTATGGTTTATTAGCTCCTACACCTCCATTTAAAGCACCCAATGTATTTTATCAGGAAGTCCATGGAAGGTGCCATTTGACCTAAACTAATAGTATACATAGAAGGAGTTCCTTTCATGAACCTCTATCCTTAGTTCCCCTAAACTATGTGACTGTTTAACATACATCCGTGTGTTGTCATGGTCCTGTTTTGCCATACATGTATACAATATACCAATGCAGAACAATAGACAAAGATGGGATTTGCTGTTATCCGTCTTGGTGACATAGAGAAGACTCCTGGGCTCAGTCAGTAATAATACTAGTTTATAACCTAAACCTTTTCTTTGGTAAACAGCTCCAGTTTCATGACCATAGGCACCCAACTCCTACGCAAATGAAACAGAATACTGTACCAAGTGGATTTTCAGTTGGTAGAAGAGCCAGTTTGCCTGAATCGACATAGGTCAATAGACATTGTTCCCCCTTGGCTTTTTCCAGTAATTACTGTAAAATTATGAGGTTTAAGTTACATTTCAAAGGGAAGACTGTACTTATGAACAATGAAGTTGTTATATACTGTAATTTTGAACTTCAATTCTAAAGAGTATTTTAGAGCTCAATAGTAGATTTGTAGGTAACATGGAACCAGCCCACATTGATGGTTGATTCAGTAATCAGGACAGATAAATCCTCTCTGTTACAGATGGAAGTCCACAGTAGCGGCGTAGAGCGTATTGGGCTCATTTCCACCTCAAGTCTTATTTCACAATCTGCCCCCGTATTTTGGTTAGACAAACTGGGTGAAAAGACTAGTTTGAGACATAAAACCACTATCCATTTAGACTAAGAACCCCTACTTTCAACACAATATTTTCCACAAGGAGGATTCAACATAAATTCAACACACAATGCGAAGCAACACAGTACAGAGATCAGAGACCGATACAATCGCAATGAGATCATACGGGGCTCCAGCTACACACCAGCCTGACCCTGTGCCTTAGACAGAGGGACAGTGAGAGTATGAGTACAGGATGGTCAGTGTGTGTGAGAAAGAAAATACTATTGTTCTGGTGACAGAAGTCAGCCCAGGGGAAACAGATAGAGAACCAGAGAAGCAGAGAAGCAGAGAACAAGGAGGAGAGGATAAAGGAAGAACTTACAGGGTCATGCTTTGCCATCGGACGCTGGGGGAGCAGTGAGAAGTGGAGGTGAGACCTTGTAGGAGGGGCTTTTCGCAACAGTCACAGAACAGTGATTAGAGCATGCTGATACCACATTTGACACTGCCCTCCTTCTTTCCTCTCACTGTCTATCCCTGACCCCCTCCACCCAGCCCACACAGGTGGGTTTGCCCCCCTCCATCCAACCCCTCCCTCTCTCATCTTCACAGAAATTGGTGTGTCCCAGTGCGCTACTTTCCCACCTGCCAGACCGGTTTCAAGGTAGCCAAGGAGAGACAAAGATTGATTCACACCGTGTGGCCTGCTCCATTCCCGGCTCAGGTGACACCAGCTGGGCAATCAGAGCCAGGGACCAAACTGTCGTCGTCTCAGACAGACACATTTTATTTATGTGGCAGATCTTTTTCTCAGGACCTCAGTTTGAAAAAGAAAGTCAGTAAAGTCACAACTAATGTGAGGTAGAGTTGTTCCAAATACATAGCAGTTGATCCAATCAAATATGTAGACATTATATTGAAATATTGAGTTGAAATAACTATCAAACTCAAATAAATGTACAAAACAAAATCTTGCTGCCCATACACATACTTCATAATCATGTAACACAGGGATGTTCATGAAATGAACACTGCTTAGGGAAACAAATAGAATGGCGCCTTTTCAATGCAGTTAATGAACTTTAGATATCTTACTCAATATGCCTTTCTGAGCCCACAGTACTTACGGAAAGTGCTTTGTCATAAAACAAGAGCTTCCTTAAGGGAATAATGTGTATATTTTGTGAGGTGTTTTTTCCAGTGTGTAAATTTCCAGAATGTGCTCAGACTGCATTCCTTCTACTAGAGAAAGCACAGGCATGCAGACGCACCCATGATCACGCACGTACACACATTTTAAAGTCAAATTATCTTAGATTCATCCTTGAAAGCCTCTTAATAGAATGTTGCATATTTACATTAGATTAAACGGCTCTTCCTCCTAAACCTTTCCAAACAGAAAAGGATGGACACAAGTAAAATTAACAAAAGGAAGGAGCTACCAACAATCATCTATGGTCAAGTTTACCATAACAAATGATGACACCTTCAGCAGAATATGAAGCAGACTTCAAAAACTGAAATCAGCATTTACAGAGGTGATGTAATAGCACAGTATGTTAACACAAAGCAATGAACACAGACCTTGAGGATGGGCATCAGTTGTCGAATGGAATAAGCATAAAAGTGAAAATATGTATATGTATCATTTATGCTATCTTTTCACAAGACATAGACGTATCATGATTGTTACGTTTCCAGGAGAGTGCATCTTAAAAAGTATATCTAAAGATTGGGAAGGTGACCCTCAGTTTGACAATTAACTTACATTAACCACTTATCACCACCAGAGGGTGATGACGCCAGACTCGATGTAACATGCACTGTCTACTGCTCTCCGCTAGAGAGCTCATTGTTATGGATGAAACCACTATTGTCTCAACTCAACTGAGCTGCATTTGTGTGGTGGTGTCCATTTTCAGGAGAGAAACCAATAGAGACATAGATCGAAAGAGAAATAGTACCGATGTTGAATTACTAGAAAAAGGAAGTGGACAGGCGACAGAGACAGTAGAAGCTAAAATCATCAATTGAAATAAATTTTATTTGTCACATGATTTGTAAACAATCGGTGTAGACTAACAGTGAAATACTGCGCCATAGTAGGTTTGGGCAACGAGTTTCTCCATGAAGTTAAACTCAATTCACAAAGTCAAACACAGACTGCGCATCTCGCCCACTTGGTATGAAAACCCTGTCAAACTGCAGAAACCTTATACTTGTTCATATTAATTATATTTAGACTAGATTAATAGGGGGTTTCCACTACCCAGACACAGAGACAACAACTGATAGACAATAGAACTCACTGGGCAGAGTTGCTTTATGCATGTTTGCATCATGCAGGCCTATGCAACTGTAGGCTTACTTAAAAATGTACTCACATCTGTCATCTCTATTATGTTGATTGATTAATTCCAGTTAATAATTTTGGATTGAAAACGTATAGGCAGCGTAGTCAGCCCAAGTTTGAATATAAACCAAATTTGATCACATTCATATTTTCTCCTGACACACAAATGGACTATAAATACATAACCTTACCGTGACCAGATGGGCAGGGCGCATAGGCTGTATGCAGCTGCTATTAGTAGGAACCTACAGTTGATCAGACAGAAAAATCGTCTCCTTTTCCTCCAGATCTCTAATGTTTAGGTGTAGCCTAGGCTGCTGCAACATTTATGCAATGAGTTTTTGTTTGTGTCTGTCCAGAGTGATTATGTGTTTTCACCTTTGCTAAATAAATACACAAGAGGAAAGCCTACTTGAGCACGCTAAAAAAAATGCGCTATGTCAACCTTTCTCTTTAATCTCAGTTTTAAATGGATGATGTGATGGAAGCCATCAAATCATTGTGAATTGATTTCGACATCCCATAAATCACAGTCCAAAGTTCCATAAATTCAGCAAGTAAAGCATCTTAACATGCAATTACTTCTGCAAGCTCCTTGTAGCTGCCCTTGTTAGGAGAACTTTCCCTCTCGTCGTGTCTTCTAAAAGCCAATTCTTGCATGCTCAAAAATGCACTAGCGGTGTCGATAAGCCGCTTGAGAACATCCCTGTTTCTTCATACTTTCTCGTTGTGTTGCACAGTTTGAATACGCAGACCTTTGTCCATTACATGACCGATGCGGCTTTTTCCCAGAAGTTTAAACCTGATGTAGGCATTTATATGCTCCCTGCTTTTGCTATGCATTTTAGCTGAACGATCGAAGTTCTTCAGGTCACTGTACCCCCCTTTCGCCCAAGACTCAGACTTTCCAAAAAGCAGGCAAGGCCAGCAATACAGGCGGCTTGATGAAGCAAGGCTGGCTCCCTGTGAATCAGCTATACTTTTGATCCTCTGAGTCGCCTCCACTGATGTACATACAGTGAGGGAAAAAAGTATTTGATCCCCTGTTGATTTTGTACGTTTTCCCACTGACAAAGACATGATCAGTCTATAATTTTAATGGTAGGTTTATTTGAACAGTGAGAGACAGAATAATAACAACAAAATCCAGAAAAACGCATGTCAAAAATGTTATAAATTGATTTGCATTTTAATGACGGTACCGTTTACGGTTTGCCGTGCGGTAGCAGAGAGAACAGTCTATGGCTTGGGTGACTGGAGTCTTTGACAATTTTTGGGGCCTTCCTCTTACACGCCTGGTATATAGGTCCTGGATGGCAGGGAGCGCGGCCCCAATGATGTACTGCGCTGTACACACTACCCTCTGTAGCGCCTTGTGGTCGGATGCCGAGCAGTTGCCATACCAAGCGGTGATGCAGCCAGTCAAGATGCTCTCAATGGTGCAGCTGTATAACTTTTTGAGGATCTGAGGGCCCATGCCAAATCTTCACCAGGATCCAGTTGCAGAGGGAGGTTTTCAGTCCCAGGGTCCTGAGCTTGGCGATGAGCTTGGAGGGGACTATGGTGTGAAATAAGAAGTTGAATAAGGAGTTGTAGCCAATGAACAGCCTTCTTACATTGGTTTCCTTTTGTTCAGGTGGGAGAGGGCAGTGTGGAGTGCAATAGAGATTGCATCATCTGTGGATCTGTTGCGGAGGTATGCGAATTGGAGTGGATCCAGGGTGTCTGGGATGATGGTGAGCCATGATGTGAGCCATGACCAGCCTTTTAAAACATTTCATGGCTATAGATGTAAGTGCTACGGGGCGATAGTCATTTAGGCAGGTGACCTTGGCATTCTTGGACACAGGGACTATGGTGGTCTGCTTGAAACAAGTTTGTATTAAAGACCGGGTCAGGGAGAGGTTGAAAATGTCAGTAAAGACAACAACCAGCTGGTCAGTTCATGCTCTGAGTATGCATCCTGGTATTCCGTCTGGCCCCGCGACCTTTGCGAATGTTAACCTGCTTAAAGGTCATACTCACATCGGCTACGGAGAATGAGATCACACAGGATATCATCAGAGAGAGGTTGTGAGGTCTATGTTTTCTGAAAATATACAGAAGTGAAACTGCTTTCTCAGAATCAAGAGCATGACTAGAAAACAGAAGTGATAAATGTTAGCATGTAGAAACTGAAATCTCCTGATGGGCCCAAAGAATTTCCTTGTTTGAAGAAGTAAAACCGTAATGGTGTGAACTATCTCTTATAAGCATTTTGGTGTATGACTCTGCATGCAGCAGTGTTGTTGGGGTGCTGAGTGGATAGGTCTAGGGACAGTTTGGGCCCATTGAGGGGACACAGCTCAAAAAGTGGTAGTGGGTTAGATCAGACAGACAAATTGGCCAGAAAACACAACCTGATTTTTACTTGTTCAAATGCATCAGGTACAGTTGTATTGCATAAGGACTCCACCATGTGGACTTATGCAATAAATAAAGGGAATACTACACCTCCTGAGAGAGCGTCATCAACCCAAGTACTGTAGCAACTTTCAAATCACCTTGAATGGAAATGCACAGAGCTGTGGTCATGTTCTTCATCCTCAGACTAAGGGCCAGAGAGGGCATGACCCAACAGTCATGGAACAGACAGATATATTTAACAGATATATTTAAGAGCTAATTCCATTATTCCAGTGATTGAGAAATAAACTGGGTGTGCATTGTTCATGACTAACAATTGCTAAAACAATTTCACATTTTTCTCATGAATTGAACATCAAGACATACTGCAAAATTTATATTTCCATTTTTGAACCCTATTTGAACCCATATGTTATGTTACAGTGGTAAAGTAAGACAAGTGAAACACACACACACATACACCTGCTCAGATAAATATGAGCAAATAAATATCTCTGCAATAAGTATCTATGTAAAAATGGATGACACCCCCAAGCAGTGCACAGAACCCCCTTGGTCTATGAGGAGAGATGGAAAGAGAGATGGGCTGTCAGAAAGAAAGAAGGGAGAGACAGATCAGAAAGGAGTGAAGAGCGAGAGGAGGGAAGCGCTATGCTACAGTCAGAACAGGAAGCCCGTTGTCAGTAGAGCGAGAGAGAGAGAGGAGGGGTGTGAGGTCATATGTGGAAATAAACACACAGCCTCCTCACACTGTCACACCGATCAAACGAGACTGTGAGAGTAATGTCAATTATTAACTGTAACTGAGTAAAGTATTTCATATCACAACATTGCAGTCCAACTGAGTCATCCTGTCTCCTGTATTCAGAGAGAAGGCAGAAGGCTGTGATAAGGAACGCCAGAAGTGTGTGGATAATATCTACAGTATGATGCTGATTATCTAAAGATCAGAGCATATATTGGACATGGATTGGACCTTCTGGATTTCCATTCTTGCCCTCCTGATCATCTCAGACTATGTGTCAGGTAATGAAAGCTTTAATAATTTATTGGCTGGTTAACACTGTTTAGTTCTCACAATAGACTCTCTAAATATAAGAACATTATAGCATATACACTACCGCTCAAAAGTTTGGGGTTACTTTCCTTGTTGGGGTCTAATTTCCTTGTTTTCGAAAGAAAAGTAATTTATTTGTCCATTTAAAATAACATCAAATTGATCAGAAATACAGTGTAGACAATGTTAATGTTGTAAATGGCTATTGTCGCTGGTAACGGCTGATTTTTAATGGAATATCTACATAGGCGTACGGATAGTACCCGCAAAACACCAGTCTCAACGTCAACAGTGAAGAGGCGACTCCGGGATGCTGACCTTCTAGGCAGAGTTGCAAAGAAAAAGTCCAGTGTCTGTGTTCTTTTGCCCATCTTAATCTTTTCTTTTTATTGGCCAGTCTGAGATATGGCTTTTTCTTTGCAACTCTGAAGGTCAGCATCCCAGAGTCGCCTCTTCACTGTTGACGTTGAGACTGGTGTTTTGCAGGTACTATTTAATGAAGCTGCGGACCTGTGAGGTGTCTGTTTCTCAAACTAGACACTCTAATGTATTTGTCCTCTTGCTCAGTTGTGCACCGGGTCCTCCCACTCCTCTTTCTATTCTGGATAGACCCAGTTTGCACTGTTCTGTGAAGGGAGTAGTACACAGCGTTGTACGAGATCTTCCGTTTCTTGGCAATTTCTCGCATGGAATAGCCTTCATTTCTCAGAACAAGAATAGACTGACGAGTTTCAGAAGAAAGTTATTTGTTTCTGGCCATTTTGAGCCTGTAATCAAACCCACAATTGCTGATGCTCCAGATACTCAACTAGTCTCAAGAAGGCCAGTTGTATTGCTTCTTTAATCAGCACAACAGTTTTCAGCTGTGCTAACATAATTGCAAAAGGGTTTTCTAATGATCAATTAGCCTTTTAAAATTATAAACTTGGATTAGCAAACACAACATGCCATTGGAACACAGGACTGATGGTTGCTGATAATGGGCCTCTGTACCCCTATGTAGATACTCCATAAAAAATCTGCCGTTTCCAGCTACAATAGCCATTTATAACATTAACAATGTCTACACTGTATTTCTGATCAATTTGATGTGATTTTTCTTCGAAAACAAGGACATTTCTAGGTGACCCCAAACTTTTGAACTGTAGTGTGTGTGTGTGTATATATATATATATATATATATATATATATATATATATATATATAATTGCTCTATTTTATTGCTTATTGTCATTGACTGTTTTTTATTGTTACTGAGTACAAAGTGCACTTAGAAATTGACATAATGGCCTAGCTATCAAAAGTGTTTGAGGTAGCATATTGTAAATTTCTCAGTGTGTATGTGTCCTTCCTATCAAAATGGAACATGTTTCAAGACACACATCGATCTAAAAATGTAATGCCCGTATACATAAAAAATAAACTAAGTGCAGATTGTTATTGATAATTAAATTATTAGTCAATGTTAAATATTTCATCTAGTTAACTTGAGTCAACAGAGAATTTTTTTTGTTCAATTGACATCCTATGATATAGTTATAATTTCAGGAAGTATCAATAATAACCACAGATAATTGATAGCGAATCATTGGAATTTGAGCAAATATTGTCATGAGTCAACTGTAAACGTTGTGACATTTCATAGCGAAACTGTTTTAGAAAACCCCTGATGAAACACAGTCCCCTTTGGGAAACCCACCAACTACTTATTGCTCTTCTGGATGACCAGGCTTCCTAGAAAATATTTGTACTTTCAAAATCTCATAAAAATGCCTGGAAATTCTTTAACATTTGGAATGTTATTATTGTGACAGGTAAAGACCTACTGAAGCCAGTCAATCTGATGGTGGATATATGGGACGGGGAGGTGACGTTGCACTGGGACCCCCCTGAAGGGGCCCCGCCACTGGCTCAGTACCAGGTGCAGATGGCCAGGTATACCCCACACTCCTTACTTCCTCTTAATTTACTCATCCCTTCATTCTCAGACAAGTCACTTAGCTACCGCACTTCAGCATGCATCCATCTCAGAGTCCTCCCTATCCACTCTATCACCTTTATCCTCTTCAATCATTCTTCCATACCACCCTCTCCTCATCTTTGAAGAAAGTATAATAATTAATATAGCTACTTTCATGTGTCTTTCCTCAGGTATGTCAATAGTAATTGGACCAATGTGACCAGCTGTGACAGGACCCAGCTGGCATATTGTGACCTGTCCTACCTTATTGATGACTTCGTCATGGTCTACAAGGTCCGGGTTCGACTGGTCACTGAGAACAGCATCTCTGCATGGTCACGGTGGAAGAGGTTCAACCCCAGAGAAAGTAAGTCAAGTACAGCTAAGTTTAGTGGGCGAGTTGAATAAGTATTGGGTTCAGAAATTTGCTCATTTATTTCTAGTTTTATAGTGACACAATGCCAAAACTTGTCCATTGCTTTCCTTTCTCCTCTACCCCTGTTCTTCCAGGTAAACTGCAGCATCCCTCCAGTACGCTGTTGGCCACCTCCAGTTCAGTAACAGTCAGTGTTCATAGGAAGCCATTACTAAAAAAAATCTTCCCATTTGGCCTGACTTACACTATCTACCTACAGGGAAGAGGACAGGACAACAAGGTACTGATCATACATTGTTTAAAAACATACTAGTAACAGTACTTCTAATGTATTCACTAACTGTAAGTCGCTCTGGATAAGAGCGTCTGCTAAATGACTAAAATGTAATGTAAATGTAATAAAATAAATAATTACATGTGGTTCATCCTAGTTCATATATTCAGGTTACTGTATTGACTGACATTTTCATTTATTGGCTTGCAGACCGTCATCCGGCAATTGAAGGATGAAGATGACGAGGATAAGGCAGAGGTTCAGTTTACGTCTCTTCACTGGGGACAGGAGTACTGTGTCAGCCTCAAAGTTTCAGGCAATGGAGGAGAATTCACCAGTGACGTCTCCCCTAAACAGTGCCTCCTGCTGCCAGAGCAAGGTAATACAACTCAGACTACACAGCTCTACATGACCATATATGGCTCAACATTCTGATACGTCATATACCAGCCTAATGTCTAGAATCTTATTAACTAAACTAATTAGGCTAAACACATGTTCTGTTTCTCATCAGAGTGGTATATCCTTGCTGTGGTGTCCTTCTCCATACTATGTGTGATGGGGGTCCTGGTCATGCTGGCCCTTTGCCTTTGCTGCTTCCTGAGGCGTCCTGAGAAAATGCCTGTTGCACTGGTAAGTTTCTTTGAACAGTTTAATTAATGCACAACTGACTATGTCTATCAGTTCAGGTAAAGGACACTTCAGGGAAAGGACAAAAATGCTGTATTCTTAAAGTGCAAAAAAGGAACCAACACAATAGATAGAAGTTTCAACAATAATAAGAAATAATAAAATATAAAGAATACGAACATAAAATAAATGGCTCAGTAAAGGAGTTCAGTGGTGCTCTGTTCTACCACATACAGTACATATATATTCATTTCCTGCAACTCCACAGATGGGGAAACACCAGGCTTTTAAGAAGTATTTATATAAACTGTCTGTTTAACCCTGAATCTCTTAATCAAAACTAGAGGCCTATTGTCATTCTATTTCCTGTTATCTTTCACTTCCTCATTCTAGGAGGTTGTTCAGGGATTCATGTGTTTTTTTTTTGTCCTCTTTTACCTCAGAAATCCCCAGGCAGCGGCTGGCAGCCTCTCTGTGTGGGAGAGGTCCCAGTGGAGATCGTCACAGACAAAGGCTGGTTCATGAGCACCACCAGAACTGATGCCATGGTCTGCTTGGCCGACAAAATGACTACTCCAGCAGGCAAGGGAGAGCAGGAAGAAGGAGAGGACAGAAGGACGTGTCTGGACAGTGGGGCTTGCACTGAATCCCACATTTCTGGGAATGGAAATGGAGGAAGTCCGGCAAAGCAAGAAGACAGTGGCTGTGGAAGCCTGGGAGCACCAGAGAGTGCCGTCAGCAGCAGGAGTGGAACTGGAGAGCCCCCCCTGCTGGATAGGAGGATTAACACAGACATCAGCCTGAAAGAGGACAGTGGGGTGGGGCTGGGCTGCCAGTTAGGGTGTGCTGGAAGTCTACATGGGGAGGACTGTGGAATCTTGCCTGAGATGGTAATGGTCACAGGGGATGGCTACCGGAGCCAGAGCCCTTCTTCGGTGGATGCCCATGTTACTGAGACAGAGCAGAGTTTTCAACAAATCTCATGCGAAACAGTTATTGCTGATCCTGTTGTGGGATACAGGTCTGCTCACATGGCATGCGTTTGTTTAGGGGCAAGCGAATGTGTTTGGTGCCAGACAAGAAGACACTATGAGAGGAGTGTCGATGGACAGTCTGTAGCCCTATTTAGTTTTACAGATGAGCAGCTAAACTGCAGCAATCTCACATTTGACATATGTGAGATGGAATCTACATGCTCCAGCTATAAAAAGAACAATCTCCACATAGAAACAGTAGTAAACTTGGAGGACTCAGTAACCTTTTCCTACCTGCCTACATGCATAGGTGAATCCTTCCCACTCCTGACGGCTTTATCAGAGTTGCCCCTAGTGGAGGGAGGACTGAACTGCAACATGAACACTATGCTTTTTTCTCTGGGTGATGTGGAAGTGACATTTGATTGACATGGTCCACGAACTGAGGACACTGTGTGACACACAGAAGGGTTTGTTTAGCCCTCCAGATTGTGGGGAGTCATGCAATATGTCTACAAACCCTTTGTATGCCATTTCAAGTAAACACTCCTTTTCCTAACTGAAAAAATCAGCAACCATAACTCTTTTTTGTAGCTATTTAAGTATTTTTGGAGCCTTTTTTGGAACCTTTAGTGAATAAGATACCATGTTTATTCACTTTAGTTAACTCTGAGGAGTCACTTAAAGCAGTCACTGACATTGTCAACTGTTATTGACAAAGTGATGTGCGGCAGAAAGAAAATAGTGGTTGAGCTGCTTTTCAAAACAGCAGAGAGCAGTTGGCTGCTGGCTGTTGCTGTTTGGTGGGTCTTTAAAGATTTGAGCAGGAGATGGGAAACCCAATTTCTGACATGCCTTCACCCATTTCAACTGACAGGAAGCATTTAACCAGAAGTGGAAAAAGGAGAGAAACTGTTTTGACTTGGTAGATGGAGCGAGAGGGTGGATTATAACAGCAATACAACATTTATAATATTAAAGGATTCTATATGCACTCTGTGAATACACATTTTACAAGTTATAATGTTCGGATAGTTGTCAATGTTGGTCAGACTCATCTGTAAAGTTTTCCACAGAAAATTCACACATTTGACAACATAACCCCCCCCACAGTATAGAAAAGGAAGCCAACACTGTGTGCACCACAAGTGAGATATAATTTAATCAATTTAAACTACAAATAACCATATCTCTTTCTATCGGGTGGTTTATAGGTCAATTATTACTAATAACTGCAGCTACTGAAAATAGAACAGAATGTAGTTTGGCTTGCAATAAACTGACGTTAGCTGTGAAAATGTTATAACATTTACATTTTGCTGTTCAGTTCCCTTCCCTGACTACTCCATATGTGACTCCTTGGACATATTTACTGGGCTTTGGACTTCACAATCATGTATTCATTACACTTTCTACATGTGGACTTAACACAAATATGTATTTATGAACTGTGTTAATCTGACGTCATGTTGTATTTAGTCTTGTGTTCTTTTTCTGAGGAAGGATCTGATAGTAGTATTTATTCATCTCAGTATGGAAAGAGCATACATACAGTATGTGAATGAGGTAAAACAGACATACAGTATATAAATGGGGTTAAACAGACATTCAGTATGTGAATGGGGTTAAACAGATATACAGTATGTGAATGGGATTAAACAGACATACAGTATGTACACTATGCGAAGTAGCACTCAATCTCTGTATAACATACAGCAGAGAGAAAGTAAGAGTCAGTCAAAACGATGAAAAAGGACAGAGTGGGACATGAAAAAGAAACATCCTCCAGCATGACATGGCATAACACAAAGATACATTAGGGATTCCCACATGCAAAAATAATGATACTGGGGAGATTCTGAATTAGATTAGTGGTTTTCCCAACTCGATTCTCAACTAGATTAGTGGTTACACAGAATAGATAGCCACTTCCTCTTTCAGTCTTCCCCTAAGTCTCTGACACTACACTTAAAGTTTTCATCAGGGGAACACTTTATCAAATGACAAGCAGACAACTATATTAATTAACCATCATACAGTTTCATGTAATACCATTTATAGATTATATCCTAGTTTTATTGAAATAGAAAATATCAGAATAGAGTACAGGTATTTGCACTTTCTCACTAAAATCAAGAGTATGACCCCACAAAAAGACACTTGACATTAACAGAATCAATGTAGTCCTCACATGCTGAATATTAACTGTCATTTCACATGTATCAAACATGTGGAATATAATTTCTCTCTCACTTTTTTCCACATACTGTGAACCAGAGCCCTGGGGGTACCCCTATAGGCTCTATCTATGACTTGCACAGCAGCCATGACAGTGAGGAGCTATTGTCTGCTCTAAAAGGGAGCAGAGATACAAAAAAATCTCCTCCTTAGATAACCTGGTATATCACCCGTGGCACCATGCCCTTCTCTCAACCCACAGGGCTGTTATGGTAAACACACCGCCTTAAACTCTCACCATCACAAGAATTTCACTCCAACACACTCAACCACGGATAAACAAAAACCTACATTTTATTTTCAATGTCTTATAAGGTTCTTTGAAACTCCCACTACTCCTCTGTCATGTTTTCTGATTGCCATGGGTTTCACATAAAACAGCAGGGGAAGGGGGAATTACGCAGATGAAAATACATCATATGGTATCGGGATAGACCATGAGTATGTAAATGTAGTGGTGACATGTAGTGCAATATATTCCAAGCAAAGTTGTTGTATGTCAGAGACCATCTCCTTCATCAGAGAAAACTGATGATCTGCCTACTGTGAATATATTAACCCTGATTATCACTAATATAGATCCAGTGTTCCATGTAATGAGCTGGTTGATCTCTGTTCTGTCACAAAAGATCTTAGAGGAAGATAGCCAGTCAATATCAGAAAGGGAAATATTTGCAATAAAATGTTCAACAACACATACTGTAGAAGGAATAAAGACTTCAAAAAAATATCATCAAAATGTTAATTACTTTACCCACACGCAGTCACACATTTATTTACAAATTAGCTTTATCTGTCATTAACAAATACACTTGATACCGAAACAGAACTGGTACGGAAACACATATCTGAGAGAGATACGTGGGACAAACAAAGACAAAGAATCCGATGTTTAAATGATCAAACTGACCTAAAATGAATCTTTAGAGGAATGTTACCTCCAGCTTATAAGAAAGAGGATGTGTGAGTTTCTCTGGTTAGCTTGTTGACGAGCTGCCAAGGCACCATTCTCCTTTTCGTCATCAGTACCCTTTCCTCCACAACCAACCCCTGGTTCTCACACCTTTCTGTATTTTCCACTATAAATAGAGACACCCTAACCCACATGTTTGTCTTCATCCAGAGATGACAAAGTGTGACAGTTGAATAGTAGTTACATTTTTTAATTGTTTTCTATTATGATAGAAACAAAATGTGGTATTACAACAAAGTTCAAATACACTCCCCTGTCTGCATTAACTCCGTTTGACGTGGGCCGGAAGAGAGAGTGTGTTGTTTGAGGTTTGTGTGGTGAGAAATGAGTGAGAGAGAGAGCATTAGAAACATTGAAATAACTGATATGCTCCATCTTATGTGAGTTTACCAGGGCCATACTTTAAAACACACGCTCCTCCATTACTCTGCATCAGCCTACAGTGACATACTCATGAGACACAAAGGTTATGCTATGTAAGTCTAAGATAAGATGGAAATGAAGTCCCCTGTAGCTCAGTTGGTAGAGCATGGCGCTTGCAATGCCAGGGTTGTGGGTTCGTTTCCCACGGAGGGCCAGTATGAAAATGGATGCACTCACTAACTGTAAGTCGCTCTGGATAAGAGCGTCTGCTAAATTACTCTTCTGCTTTTTATCCAATCCCTTGATGTATACACACGCGGATGGAGAGGCTGGAGCAGCCGCAGTGCAGCTCCCAATTAACAGTTTATGGGGTTAATTTCCTTGCTCAAGGGAACATTACCAGTGGGTGGCACCTGATATATTGATGCCAGCAACCCTCCCGTTGCCAGCTCACTCCCCGCCAGCACTGGGATTCAAACCGTCAACCTTGCAGTTGCTGGCCCGCTTCTCTAACCTCGAGGCTACTGCCAAAGACATACTGCACTATATTCACTGGAGACACAGTATTACATTCAAACACATGACTGTCAGATCAATATTAGAGAGCAAGATACGGAGAAAGAAAGGAAGTGAGAGACTGTAATCAACAGAGATGTTCTCCTGTGTGATGCAGGTCCTCTACTTCATACAGCCACTGATGGAGAAGGGAGGGGGATACTTCTTTAGGCCTACCTTCCTGTGGAGATCAGATTTTTTAATAAACACAGCTCTCACACACACACGCTCACACACAGGGAGTGCAGTTCTGTAGAGGAACGATTTACCACCATTACCATCCCCATTAGTAAACTGGTTGTCAACACTCACGTAAGCACTTTGTCTTTCAGTGATGGCTCTGGAGAGAGAGAGCGAGAGAGAGGGCTGTGATTATTTTGGGCAATGTGACAGCTCAGGTTCTTGATGCAGTCAATGATTGCAATCAGATAAGTGACAGGGGCCAGCTAGCAAGCCAATTACTGGCCTTTGTATGTCATATTACAGGTACACACAGGAACAGTAGATTCACACTAGATTGCTACATGACAGGTGTGTGAGGTCAAATCAAAATGTATTTGTCACATACACGTTTAGCAGATGTTATTGCGGGTGTATGCCCAGACAGTGTGGCAGGCAGTTGTCATAGAGGTGATATCTTTTAAAGTGTCTTGGGAGATGATAGAGGTCCCAGGTAAAGCTCAGGTAAAGTCCAGTGAGGATGTAGACTTACCATTTTTCGTGCAGCGTTTCCTGCATTTCTTGAAGGGTTGCTTGCAGCAGAACTGCACAATGCCGATGGTGATGAGGAGAGCCAGGAAGGTGCATCCCACAGCCACCCCGATCGCCACAGAGCTTACTTCGGCCTCTGTAACACGGTCAGAAGAAACAGTATGGCCATAATGAGGCAGGGTCACAATGAGGTTACAGTCAGTACCGCAAAGCTAAGGTCAGAAGGATATGGTAAATCCAACATGGTCGTGACATGCTCGTGGAGAGCCAAACAATCTCATGGAGGACGTTAAAATTACAGTCAATAATACTGTATTATTGCTTGCTCACACTTTACTGATCACAAGTTCAATTCAGGGTCATGGATAATTTTTTCCTGACCATCCAAATCCTCAACTGCTATCTTATTGATTCAGTACTAGCTGTTTGAAGTTGCATGGGAAAATCAATAATTTGCAATGTGCTAAGCAGACTTATTATCTCCACATCAACAACTCTAGATAGGGAAGTACTCGAAGGTGCACTCTGAGTTACACTTCACTTACACTGTTTACTCACTGTACCTCCCAGGAGACCCTCAAGGTTCCCCTATTGACTTTTAGATGAAGAGTTAAATGAGCTAGAGTTACCGAAGAGTTACATTAGTTGACGGTAGCTAAGTGTTTATGTTAGCATTAGCAGTTAGCTTGAGACTGAGTAGCTTCTAAGGCTAATACGTCATAGACACAATAGCAGCAGCTCAACTAATGGCTGTGTAACCCAGGAGACCTGACAAAACAGGTAAAGCATCTGTGCTCAAGCGATAAAGAACAATTAGATTACAATCTGAATCTCTCAGTAAAAGTGCAAAGACGTGTGCTGTGGAAGTTTTCTCTGCTACTCTAAAGGTATTACAAAACATGTGTAGAGTTGACAATTCAAAAGCAGTAAATCACCAACAGTATCCAACAATCTTAGAAAATAATTAGCTTAAAGTTTTAAGAGTGGCAAAGCTAATGTCGAATATATTGGGCACTTTAGGCTACATACTGTAGTAAAGGAATTAAACACACACCACAGTCAATATTTTAACCATTATGTTCCTTTAGTAGATGCAGTGGTTTAGTTTTTCTTACCCCCCATCGCTGAATTGCCAGGCTTTAATTTTGGATGTCCCCCTCACTCCTCTCCTCTTCTCCTTTTTGTGAATGTTCTGTCAATCACTTGGTTCGTGTTGGCATATCTATCCTTATTAAATCATTGTCATTAGATGTTTGGCACCAGA